CAGCTGTAGGAGTAACTTGTGACTGTAAAGAGGTTTTAATGTTGTGTAATGTAGTTAGTATTATAATATAATTATACACATAATAAGAATAGATCAAAGCAACAACAAAGTTCGATTCTAGACAGACTACGTTAAAGAATAAAAGCACACTACATTACACAGATTTTTGAAGTGAGAGTAGGTGTTGCCGGTACAGTGCTTTGAATTTGGGTTTGGATGTCTCATTGCGTATATGTGGTGGAATATTGTTCCAGCAATTTGAGGCCGAGTATTTGAAAAATTCGTAAGATCTGCTGGTTCGTTTTGTAGCTCAGTTGGAAGAGCGTCAGGCATAGTATGCTGAAGGTGCTGATTCGAATACAGCCGGATCGAAGGAATTTTACTTAGTGTTCGATCTTTGTATTAATATTGAAACATCTTAGTCAACATTTCAGATAGTCACCAAGACCTTGTAAAAGATGATACCAAAAGATCGTCGAGACAGACATGTATATTTATGAACAAAGACACATAAGAGTCATAGGAGAAATAGAAATAATAATACATAGTATTCAGTTTGTAAAATATCAGTTTTGTTTCGCATTAAAACAACTGTTTGTACTTCGAAAATAGAACACACAGTGATGTTGTTATTGACGGATTGCATAAGCAAGTCTGAAAATAATATGATTACGGTGGAATTCAGAAAATGATTCAATGTTCCCGTACTAGGCGGCCTTCGTCCGACATCATAGCCTCAAAATAATTCCATTGCACCGACCTAGTTGCGCTTACGTTTTTAGTTCACGACGCTGCTTCACATGCTGTAAAATACTAATTACATTCATTTTCTTTCTATCTGGTACTTAATTGACTGCAAATTAGTAATTTTACTCTTACCTTTTTGTTTATTTTTAACAACATGCTTTAGATTACTGTATTCTTTGTCATGATCAGCACATATCAATCCACTACTGGACGTGGACCTCTCCTTAGAGACACTTATCCCGATCTTTGTCTTATCGCATTCAATTGCTTTCTGCTGTCCAAGGCAAGCACTTCGCCCGGGTAGGAGTTGTCCGTTTGCCTATTCATGGTCTGTACTCCAGATTTCGTCAATTTCAATAATTATCACCATTCTGAGTTTCCAAATGTTAGTGTAGAAACTTCAAGCATAACTATTTCCGTATCTCGCTGTGTGACTCTCAACTTGCGGACAAGATTGGCCCGCAAGTCATAGCTCATCTTTTCGGCTCCGTAGGTCACAACAGTTATAACTTGGTTAAAGAGTATGGCCTTTAAACTCTGCTGCATGGATGACGAAAATACATGACCAACCTTTGGTTCTGTCAACTTCCTACCCGAAGTTGTTTCTAATCAAATGCAAAGTCTACCCGTAGAAGACGTCTTCCTAAGCAATTTCTTGATACGCTCCATCGTCTATGACGAGAGATAGGCAAGCGCACGGGTTATCACCCAGCGCTTTGTTAACGCCGAGTTTACATCGGGTTAAAACCCACAGACGCTCAAAATCGAGGGCAAAAACTATTTACAACTAAATATGTATTGGAAATCAAATATTGCTCAAATAAAAAAACGATTTGCTTTACTATTGAATCAATTCGCTTAAAATTTGCGTTTAAGTAAATCGATACAAAAAATCGTTAGATCGTATGAACTTGAGTTTATTTTCATAAAAATCGAATTGTAATGTGCATCCTTAGTAGTGAGAATCTACAAGATTGCAATGTGGGTATTGTGTGGAGTTGCCTCTTTTTCGTGTAAAAAAGATTTCTTACATCGAAATTTATAATAAATATGGAATTATACCAAATTCCATATTCGCCGAAATGGGTTAAAACCTAGTGATTTGGGTAAAAACCCGGGCGGGTTGATTGGATTTCAACCCACTGCCCATTTTTGTCTATAACCGATTCCCCAGTGACATTACAGTTGAATGAGAAGTTGACAGAATTAGTTTAGACTGTTGCAACATTTCCTCTATCCCTATCTACCGACCCGAGAGAGGGTATTCCAGAGAGACTACGGGCTCGCCGGCAAGACCAGGGTACAGCGGGTGTCGAGGCTAAGCCCTCCGCCAGTGATACGCCCTCACGGGCGTCTCTGGTGAACCCGGACTCGCTGGGGTTTGTGGTGAGCTGCACTGACGGACATGTTCGTCAGCCCCGGTAGTGTGTGGCCGGGACGTCTGACTCATGCGCAACTAGCGCGTCTTGGCAGCGGTCTACACGAGGGCCTAAGGCGAGGATACGCGTGGGGCACGTGAGTTGCCCTTTAAGTTGGAAGCTATGTTCGGACATTGTCGCAGGACACTACGACCAGCAACTCGGCATTCACTCGAAGAGCTAGTAGCGGGTGAGCTAGATACGCTCCGGTCCCTCCAGCTGCTTAGGTTATTGGGAACTGGAGAGACGCCGTCGTGTGGTGTCGAGAAGTGAGCGTGCCTTACAGCTCCGCTATCAAAGAGGATATTTGGTAGTTTTTTAGAGTCAACGGCTAGGCGGTGGCAACTGTTAGTTGTGCATTGTGCAACGGGAAGTGAGCGTGCCTACACCTCCGGTATCTATCTGGAAAATAGCGAGGGTACCTACTGTAGTGCACCTGGGGCGGTTCACCCGAGGCACTAGCCTCTTGAGAACCGGTTGAAGTCTGACAACAGTGTGTGATTACCCTGTACACTGGTTGATCTGGGATCAGAACCTGAACTTAGAAGGTTCCTGTGCATTTACAGGCAATAGTGCCCTTCTGGTATACCTTAAAGGTTGGTAGGGAGGGTCACTAGAATCAAAACTAATGTAGAAAGATATGGGGCTGCCCAATGTTCCCTAAAGATACTCCACGATCAACCACGACGATGATAGTTTCAATTTGAACTCTTGAAAGATCTGAAACGTCAGTGAACAGTTTCGGACATGTAACGTCTCCATGCGTCTTGTTTGACTATACTGTTCTTGAAATAATTTATGAATTGAGACTTTGGGGTCACTCTCGTTCTCCGTCCGATATTCGGCCAAAACAATTACTGTCAAATAAATAATAGTCGAGCAAATTAAAAAGACAATGTCAAGTATGAAACTGCATTCGCATCACGCGTCTTGTAATTTGATCGAGTATTATTTATTTGACAGTCATTGTTTTGGACGGCTGTCGCGAGGAGAACGAGTGTACAGGGCGTCACTTTGCGGAAATCCATATTAATTAAAAATTAAGTAAATAATTTATTAATTCTTCGGTCCAGGGGCGAACAGTCAATATCTCCTGATGACGCCTCGTAGAAAGGCGAAACAGGTGTCAAGGGTATTTTTATTGGTGGTTGTGATTGTGTTATTTATTTTATAAATTTTACTGTATGAAAAAGTATTCAACACAATCGCAGCTATTTTGTACGATCTCACCTTCACTTGGTTCGCGAAATAGACAATTAATTTACTGTCATTTTTATTCTCTTTATGAATGGTCAAACGGTTTTTATAGACCGCCAGACCCCAACGGCTGGTTGGTGCGATCTATAGTGCCAAAGCCTTTTAGAAACCCGGTTTTTCTAGCTGGCTGAAAGTCATCAAAACTTCTGGCTAGCGGATTAGTCATCGAAACAGCATGTACACTTGAAACAGAATGATATAAATATATTCTTCATAATTTATATCATTTATTATGAATAGAAGTTGATATATAACAAAATGAATATTGGTTCACTGTGTCCCACTAAACTTTAGGCATACAAATATATTGAATTGAATTATACATTTGTTACATGCACTTCAACAGACTAAAGTAAGAGTAGCATGTTTTTTTACAATATCATATAGGCCGCGTCATAGCTATTTGACTAAATTTTAATTATAATAATTGTAAAATGTAACTAGATGTCAAAATAATGAAAAGAGAGAAAAAAGTAATAAGCTAATCCTATTTGAATCACAATCACAAATCGAGGTCTTAAGTTTCCGCGATACCTAAACATCGAAAATAAATCTTATTTTTTCGGATTTTTTTTCGGATTCGAGCTTGTTTTCTTCAAACAAAGAATCTTTACAGATCCCGTGGTGACTGCTGATTGAGATGATAAAGTCATCAACCAATACGTCTAATATGAATGCACCTTATTCGTAAAGTATGGTTACAAAAGTTATTATTTAAATACTTTATTTTTAATTTACGTATGATTTATAAAATATTTTATTTTGTCAATATTAAATTTTCACTAAACTAAATTTATTGATCAAAAGGAAATTAGAATTAAATAAAACATCTTAATGAGTAGTACTCCAGTTTTACGTCTGCTAGGAATTTTGAGAGGAAATACAGAACCCCAAGCTGGTGGTATGGAGAAACCATCTTATTAAAATTAGGACTTTTTAAAATTTTAATAGCCTCTCGCAATGTGTAATAAACAGATCTCTTTTACGAGGACCTGGGGTTTATCAAACTTAATTCTCAGGTCACGTTCCCTGGTCATTGCAAAAAAAGTCCATTTTATACCCAGGATGCTGCGATAGGCCATTGAAATTAAAAACATAGCAATTTATGAACTCGTTAAATAATCCATATTAGATTTTTAATTGACGTTTTACTTTTTCCGGATGTTAAACCAAAAGTCGTAAATATAATGTCTTTCCGTACTCAATAAATATTTCTAATAATATTTTAACTCATATCGCTTAAGATACATCTTGCCTACATCTTAACACTTTTATGGCTTATGGGCATTTAAACGGATAGACGTTAATAAATCTAAATGTATTTGAACCACCAGGTGGTTAGGATGGTTAAATTGATTGCTTAATCTGTGCGATAGCTTTGAGTCTTATTGGAATGAACACACAAGTACTTTTCATATATTTCATTTTTTATACTTTAAACTCCATTTTGTACACAACTGTTTTCCATATTCACCAATATAGAATGTAATTAGTAGAAATTATTGAATATACGCGATGTGCAGTTATATAAGCTATCTCGGTAAGATTTTAATTAATAATTTTATCGCTTTGTTTCAGACATAACACAGCGCTCACTCACCCACTGAAACCCGACTGATTGTAATGAAATTGTGACATAACAATGAATACAATGCTTTGATTAATAAACATTTCGTTATGTACCAATATTGCAATACATTGCCTAATAACAGTCGAAGCGGGTTTTGAAGTTACTTCGGAGAACAGCAATGAAGTGAGGTGTAGGCGATGACAGCGCGAGAGGTGGAGTTGGCCGGCGGGGCACCATGGGGCTTCCGCATGCACGGCGGCGCCGATCAAAACCAGCCGCTCAGGATATCGAGGGTAAGTGCTTATACAATTTATCCTATAACCAAATGCAATCAATGTTACAAGGGTACCTAATTAAGCTTCTCGAATTGATACCAGAAAACAGTGTATTTGAAATAATCAAGATATTGTTTCAGATGATGATATAATTTATTTTATGTTAACATGTTCTAAGCTTATCATTATTGTAACAAATCGTGTTATGTTTGTATCAGTCAGGTACTTTGAAAAGCTTAACTTGGTTAAAGTCAATATTTTTCAGTGTAAAATTCTGAGTATAGAACTGAGATAGAAACTCGAACTCAATCACCCGTCGAGCTCCAGTTTCCATGATTTGTATAATTTACCTGGGTTTATGCTTGATCATCTATTACAAGTTGCCATTGAGTGAACTGAAAAGGTAGACTGAAAGTTTAAGTACAGTTGGCGCACTTAGTGAGGTTTGCGGCATCTCTATTATCGCGTGTAGCCGGTTTAAAGAGCACTCAGCCGCACAATATCAGATTCTACGTAATTAAGTTTCTCGTAATATCCTCAAACGTTTCTGTTGTTGACAGTACTTTGCGGGAAAGCGTTGCAATTTGTCAAGACAATTGTGTCGTAGTGTAACGTAGTTAGATTCTGCAGGACTGGTCATAGCGCTCCTTTTCCAGTCGCCTGCTGCACTCAACGCTACACCCGCCCCAACGGCTTAGAAAAATGGACATAATTAAACTATCTCTAAGTGCAGCAAAGACGTTGCGCTTTTGAGAAATTTTGTTTTGGTCTTTGTTTTGGAGGGGTTACATCGAGCGCGTTTTTCCTGTACTAACTTGGTTCAGTTTTAAGTTTGTATCGAGGCGAAAGCTCTTCATTATTATAAAAAAATAAGGTCTCTGCAAATATTTCATTTGCCTGTATTATTTTTTACATTTACTTGTACGTACAAGTTAAGCTACTCGAAATGTCAGTTTTTCAACTGTGTATTTGAATTAATAAATTTCACAAATTACCTATTTTTGAGTAAAGCTGTACATCGTACATGTCACTTAAAATAGAGCTAAAATACTATTTCTGTAGCCATAAATGTACTGGCATTTATTTCGAATAACAACTGTATCTTATTTAGAAAAATTACCTTTACGCTGTATTGTAATAGTGACATACACTCTCTTAGGTTGAATGTGTTTTCATTTTCAGCGATACAGCGACATAGTCGAGCGCTCCCTCGAAGTGAGTACAGATTGTGTGCCGAATTGTGTTTGCTTCGCAAACAATAATCAATCTTCTTGCTCTTATACTTACCTACCATCGTCAAAAGAACGTGTTTCATAAATTAACTTGCTAATAATATTTTTCACGCTTGATGTGCGATCCCTTTATCAAATAACTATTTATTTAATAAGACCTGTACTTGGAAGACTTATATTAAAACTGGCATCTTACCCTTTTTGCACTTGACACATTTTCATTTACTTCAGAGCTAATCCATTACGCTAAAACACAACTTAGTCACGGTTAGTAACAATCTGCTGATGCAAAGTAATATAAACCTTCAAGGAAAATGTTCTCTACTTCGATAGCATGCTTCCGTGATTCCATTCTTACGCACATAACGTTCTTCGTATATTTTATGCTACCCTTTAGTTTAGTCGACATGGAAAAATATTCTAAGGATATTTTATCCCATTTCGTGTTTGTCAATGCGATTCTTCCACGGAGAAGGAAAGTCTCGTAAGCTGTAATTTCCAAGGTTTCTTAACCTTGTCATCAGGGCTCGTATGACAGCACAACAAATCCTCCTTAATGTAACAAGACACTGAGCTCAATAGATGAGGGATTACAATTTAATGGAACAATAAACACAATTTGAAATTGAGGAGAGCTACCAGCTTTGTGGAATTCTGTGGCATTTTTAAGATTCCTTTTTTAAATACTGTTAGGTATAATATTTTCTTAGGCTTGTTTAGGTGTTCATATTTTCATAATTTACAATTTACTGTCGAGGAAATGTTTTCGTATCAAGTAGCAGCACTTGTAACATTAAACTGCTTGGTAAAAATGTAATTAATGTACAGGCCCTTTAGGTCACAACTGCTGGGAGTCAGAGGGCGTCATTACATGAATGCCGACGCCGCTTTGTCGTCTATTGCCGTAAATTATGCCCCACGCCAACAATTACGTTCGCTCGTTTAGAAAATCGTCATGAAACTGCACGATTGTGCTCGTTACCACACCACCTTTTATGAGAAGGTTGTAACTTTTTGCCTGCTAAGGATTTTTTTCTTAAATTTTGCATTTTAACGCCTACAATTAAGATTACAAGTATTTGGATTATTTATAGATTCATGTAAAAGCTTTCAATCAAAAGATTCCACTTCTCTGACGCTGGATGAGATGAAGAGGATGGAGATTCCGGGTTCGATTCTCGATGAGACTGATTTAGGGAAATGAACTCGTCTACATTGATTCTGATTTGGGTGTTCCGTGTAGTGCCCCAGAGGTAATTCCGTTGCTCATAGTACAGGGAGCTCCCTATATTAACGAAAGGTGTGATAGTAAAAAAAAAAAAAGTACAATTCTTGAAATATGTCTTAAATATCTACTCACTAACAAAAAAGATGGGTAGGTGAAAAAATAATCCCTTTAATCTGTAGGCCTTTATCAGAGGAGTTAATGGTCGTAGAATAGCAACGACAAAAAAAAATAGAAATAAACAAGATGTTCTTTAAGGTGACCATATAATTTATTACCCTGTAACATGTTCAGTAGTTAGGCACTCATGCACAAGGACTACGATTGCAACATCTATTTTAAGTGACTAGACAAGGCGAGGGTGAATATTTAGGTGTGCATGCAATGATTTGACCTACCGCCTTTCGAGCAGAAGCCGTGAGTTCGATTCCAGGCCGTACTTCTGAGTTTTTCAAACTGGACGCAGTTAAGAAAAAGGGATCCAATCCAAAAAATTATCAAAAAATGAGTTATATGTACCAAACAGTGCTTAAAGTCTAACCTCTTAGATCAGCAAAAAATCCAACATATATGCTATTATATAATCTCTGGAGCTACATGACATTATAAGATTCGAAAATAAAACAAGAGAGAAACATTTTTAAACTTCAAATGCCATATCTCGAAAGTGACATTGTGCAAGTGCATTGGATTTTGTTTAACTACGTCCAATTTATGTGCGTAATTTATGAAATTTACCACGAGATTTTCGGTGAAGAAAAACATCATGATGAAACCTCCACATCGAAGGTTCACAGACTTCTAGTAGGAGCTCTACTGCTTCAGGGAAGTACTGCCGCTTTACCTATTTCTGCCGCCAAGCAGTAATGTGAGCATTTCTGTGTTCCGGTTTTGAAGGTTAAGGGTGCTGGTGAAATTACAAATGCACACACTCACAAACATATGAGACTTTTCAACTTATGTCGCAGGGTGACAGACGCAAGTGCAGTGTCCTTCCGATCTTTGCGATTCGCTTACCACCAGGCGCACAACTTGTTCGTCCTGTCACTTGGTATTATGAAAAAAAAAACCAGAAAACGTGTGAAACGTGTGCGGACTATGGCCCTAAACCTCGCCTGAGAGCATAACGCATAACGCTTTTGTAATAAAAAAAAAAGAGCGCATTGGATTGCCTTGACGTTGAAGTCGACGATGGAGCACGCACGCCCTTATATTGCCTTTCACTCTTGCCTTGAAAAGGTCCAAGTTATAGCGTTCAGGGAACAACTTACGTCCTCTAACAATGTCAATTAAGTCCCTGTGACTAATCTTTTCTCGAATCCATTAGTACCATGCACTCCGTTCTGTGTTCACTTTGACACCGTATATACGGTAGCTGTGTTGATAGTACTGAATTTCTCCAAATAAATAAGATAAATTGGGTATGGGATTCCTTTGGATATAGGCTTAAGACAGGGTCGCACTCCAACTTAATTTTCTTCTTATAACAAAGAACAACATAACCAAAAGCAAGTAATTATAGAGATTATGTATGTATAAATATTTGATCATTTGTTTCATTGTAGAATAAACGACGTTAATCCTCAAATGCATTAATAATGAACAAGAATTAAAAAAATACCATGTATCGGAAACTTATAATATACCTACATAAAATTGATTTGAATTGGTCGGTGTTTTGTAGAAAGGGCGGAAGCGACATTTAATGAAAGATTTAATAAATTTTAGGTTTAAAAATTGAATTTTATAACAGGACGTAAATATTTTAAAATAGTCGTTTAAACCTAAAACATGCTCCCCTGAAAAATCTACGAAATGTCGTCTACGCCCTTACTACAAAACATCGACGAATACGAAGGTATATTCATTTACTGTCAAAGTTCTACTCTCGACAGGTATAATAAATTAATAAATAAGCTATTTTAAATTTCGAAGTAAACTGCTCATATTTAAAAGCAAGTACGCCAATATATAGAAATTCTCAGTAAAACAACCTCAAACAGAGTTCACTGACAGTGTGTGACAAGTTGTAACAGGAAAAGTTTGAGTAACATTGAATTGTGACTAAAATTGGTACGCCTCATAAGCAGATTATCTGCTCCCGTGGCAACCGCGAGCTCTCGTACCCCAACCAACCTAATTACATCTCTGTGTGAGATCACGAGCGTAACCCACACACGTGCGTTGCTAGAGTCACGGCGAGCAACGTGTTCCGCATAACAACAAATCTCTTGTTATAAACTGTCCAATATCTTTAGACCTTCAATAGTAGAACGTAAAATATCTGTCATCACGTCGAGGATTCTGTCATAATGCAATTAAATATCGTTAGCGACTGTTTTTCTTTTTGTCACAACCTCTTAATGGACACATTACTTCTTAGGACTTACTATCATTGTGCCTATAGACCCTCGACCTCATGTCGATCTTCCTTTAAGTAATGTGATCCTCTGATCCCTATGATGAGTCCCTATACGCCTCCCTACATCCCTTCCTCTGTGCATGTTCTATACAAAATCTAGTTACTGTTTCATGACACTCTCGAGGCCGTCGCGTCGTAACAACCAAGTACTGAATATAAGTAAGCACTAAATCAACACTACTCACTCGGTTTTAGGGCCCACTGAAAATCGGCGTCACAGCCTTTTCTCGGTGGTGACAATAGCTGAGTGGGATCCTGTTACATACGCCACAGCCGCGCACATGACACTTAATCTAATTGTGTTAAATATTTCATGTTTGCTTTGTTGTTGTGTATGATTTTATTTTTATTCCTTTTTTTCCAGTTATTTTTATTTTAATTTTTTGTTTTAATGTAGCTTCATTTTTTTTTTAATCTTCATTTTATTACTGTGTATATTTTTGTTGTGGCGTAGTAATAAAAGATTTCTATTCTATTCTAAATATTGTGTAAACTCACAAAATGTGTCTCAGATTTTTAACGCCTGATATATTGACCTAGTTTTGTCTTTTCGACATCATAAGACAAAGTTTTGTAATGCTAATGTTACCAAACTAATACTAAATCGTGATTTAACTCGCGATAATACCTGACTCTTCCTCTTCCGTGAGTCGGCGAAGATAATGTTTGGTATGTTTTGGTAGTTCTCAGATAACGGGATAGCTTGACATTGACTACCAAATATGAGTGTAATTTAAGTACAGTCTGATTTATCATTCTATACAGCGACTAGATAAACGAATGCTACTTACCCTTTTGAAGATATTATGCAAACTCGCTTAAACAACTTGCTAGCTTGATTGCTCCTCTGATCCTTCGATGACGCTTGGCAAAACTTATCAAAAATTGTATTTCATCACGTGGTGCCCGGCGCACTACAGTTCAAAGTAACAAAGTATTAAAGGAATAACAAAACCTATGCCTGGAACACCGCACTGTATGAATGCGAGACATGGACAATTACAAAGAAAGACAGGGAGAGATTGGAGTCTTTTCAAATGTAGTGCTGGGGGAGAATACAGAAAATAAAATTGTTTGAGAAGGTATCAAATGAAGGTTGCCTGGAAGAAATTGCACCTTAGCAATAAGGCCGCCTGTTGTACATTAGCTTACTCTTTGATAATTTCATTACTGTTCTGTGTTGTCATTGTAATTTTAATGTGCAATAAAAAATATTTTATTCATTCATTCAAATAACGAAGTTTTAAAAAGCGTTAGGGAACAGAAATTTTTTTAAAGACAATAAGGAACATAAGGGGAAAAATGTTTGGACATCTGATATATATTGACAAATATC